ATAAGAAGGAATTCCTGGTGAGTGGATTCTGCTTTTATCTGTGGCAAGGCCAGTTTGATTACTGTGCTGCTGACAGGCACTCCTGGTTACCTGGAGTCACTTATTCAAGACTTCTCTGCCTCAAGAGTCCTGTCTGCAGCATGGACAGATGCTACTGTCTCACCAGGTGCATGAAGAAGTAACACACAAATTGGGGTTGGCTGGGTTCAGTGGTAGACAAGCCATTGGTACGGATACCTGGGGTACCTGTTCATGTAGGCAGGTTTCATAATGGCCCTGAAAGATTGCAGGGGCTGCCTGAACCATTTGCATTGTCTTTGTCTTGCGTTCTCCAAATTCATGTTGCAATTCATTTTGTTCTATTTCTGCAGAGAAAATTTTTATCCGTGTGATTGATCCCTTCACTATAAAGCCCCTGGATAAGAAGACAATACTGGAAAGTGCAAGAGCGACCAAGGGCAGAATCATCACTGTTGAGGACCATTACCATGAAGGTATGCTGGGGCCAGGAGGTCACAGTCCATACAGTTATTGCCCAGGGGTTGGAACCTCACAGCTTCTAACCTGAGAGAGAAGTATAGGACCTGATGCTGTCATTTGCTTAAAGCAAAAGAGAGGTTTTATTCTTCCTTATTACTCCTAACGATTATAAGATGACACTGAGGATTGAAAGTTTCCTCAGATATAATGGGTTAATCAGGGCTCCTTTCTGATCAGCTTGTGTGTGCCCTTCCTTGTGCTTGGTCCAAGTGAAGTCTTGAGTCATTTGTGTTCACTGAAATTGTAAGCTCCTGCTGTGGTGTGGTGATTCTGCATGGAATGTTCTCAGATAGCTCTTACAGCAGCTGTAGTTGTCAGAGTTTAAGTTGTGAGAGAGACCACTGCTGTGCAGCTTTTATAAGTTTTCCCTGTATCCAAAAGGACAATTCCACGTTGCTTGAGATCAGATGATTTGGCAGTTTCCAGTCACTGTGGAATAAATTCCAGAGTGAGCCTCATAGAATTGTCCTCCATTGACCCAGCCAGCCCAGACCCTTCTGCAGATCCTTCCTACCCTCCAGAGGATCAACACTCCCACCCAGCTTAGTGGCATTTGCAGACCTATTGAGGGTGCCTTTGTTCCCTCATCCAGACCATTGATAAAGTTATTAAACAGAACTGGCCCTAGTACTGAGCCCTGGGGAGCACCACTTGTGACCAGCTGCCAACTGGAGTTAATTTGGTTAATCTGCTGCCTCTTGCTCTCTGACATGTCTTGCTGACACAGGTTTTCAAGGGCTTGCCTGTGCAAACATGTCCTGTGAAGATGAGACTGTGTGCAAAGAGCAGTGGTTGTGAATCATGTCAGGCTTGATCTTCTTGGGGGAGATGGAGAAATTAGCAGAGGGGCAGCTGTGAACTATGGCATTAGTAGGTATCTGTGATATCTACTATTAGAAATTAGTAGATATGAGAATATTATCCTAATTTAAGGCGAGCATCACTCTTGCCAGGTATGTGAAGTGAGCTGGTGTTGCCGTTAAGTGCTGGTTACACGGTACTTCCATTCCAGTGTATGGATGATAATAGCATCACTGAGCCTCATTGTTTTCTAGCTTACCTTACAACTCTGGACAAATATTTTACTGTAGATTTGCAGGATATCAAAATCATCACACCCGGAGGTGAGGAACATGCAAATTGTTGTGGCATGGCTCTCTGTGTGATGCAGCCAAGGAAGGTCAGGTGTACGCACCTCACAAGCCTGAGTGTGTTGCAGGCCCACATCAGGTTGATCTTAACAACCACATCCATGGAGGTGCCTCTGGCTGGAAGCTGTTTGACTGGTTTAAATCACACTATGTCTGGAGCTGTGAAAAGCCTGATAGACCCCAACTGAAGTGTAGGACCAAGGTATCTCTCCTACCAGGTCTCAAGAGCACATGCTCTTGACACTAGTCCTGTGCTTTCTTCTTTCCTCATACTCCTGCTTCCAGTGTCTCTCTTGTTGCCACAGTTCCCCGTTACATCATTTGTATGATTATGATTCAGTCTGTAAATCCCTGATGGTGATTCGGTGTGAACTGAGCCCTGAGCAAAGGCTGTGAATGTGTTGCATAACTCAAAAGAGGTGCCTAGCAGCATTTACAGGCATTCTGAAAAGATGAGCTCTTCAATGCCATAAAGACTGGCAGGAGTTCAGCCTTTCAGCACATGAAGTACACTTGTAAATACTCCTCCATCTAAATATATTTTAAACCTGGCCCTCTGTAGCTGATGCTGAAGTGGTGAGGGCTTCCTGACAGCTCTGTGCCCTTTGGAGGTAAGTTTCTCACTGCCAATTAGCAAGTACCTCAGAAATGGCAGGCTGCTTGTCCTCAGAATGCCTTGGAAATAGGGAATTGTCTTCATTTCACAAATGAGCAACTCAGACATATATTGTGATTGATGTTTCTCATAAGCTTTTGAATTGAGGATTTAGTTTGCATGGACCTTTGGATCAGATATACACGCAATCTGCAAGTTGCCTGTGGTAACATGCCAATACATGTCTTGTTTAACTTCTTTTTTCCACAGGTGGCATTGGAGAAGCAGTGTGTGCTGTAGTGGTGGGTGAGCCTGGGATCACAGTCAATTGCTTGGCTGTATCTCATGTACCACGCAGTGGGAAGTCAGCTGAGCTCCTGAAGATGTTTGGCATTGATAAAGATGCCATTGTGCAAGCTGTTAAGGTGGCAGTGTCCAAATCGAGAAACGCGGAGTAGTTCGAAGCATCTTGCGCAATTACGGAAGAACAGTGTTCAGAGAAGTACTGTAAGTTTAAGGCAGGCAAAGGTGCTTTATGTAGAGAGTTCTAATAAAAATACCAGCTGAAAAAACCTTCTGGGTTTTAATCTCTTTGTTTGCCTGTGGAGTTTTGTGTAGTTGGGGTAACAGTCACTGGAAAAGCTCATGGGCAGCAGCCCTTTGCCTGCCTGCTATGAGCGTTTTCTGCTTTGCAACTATCCTTCCCTGCTGTGAGCTTTGGCACTGGAGCGGTTGGGTGTTTGCTGAAGGTCTGAGTGGGCTGTGCTTCAGCAGGGAAATAGGCGTTGGGCATTGCAGCCTAGAGTGAATTGAGTAACTCGTTCGGGTTTGGTCCAACTTACTGCTGAAGATTAAACTCATCTTGAAGGGGGTTCTGCGGAGCGTGTTAGACACTGGATAGTGAAAAGCAGGAACACGGACGGCAGGAGGAGGGGAGCTTGTGACTTTGCTTCTGCTCCTCCTGTTTTGTCCTTGCCATGTAAAGCCAAAGGCAAGGAGGAAATGCCATACATGCTGGGTAATGTCGAAGCAGGGGGAGATGTACCAGGGGAAGGGCCAGTGGACCTGTGGGACTGAATGGTGAGTCCTGGCACGGGAGGGACCTGCTGGACCTAGAGAATGGAGGCTCAGTGAGCACAACTTCAGTTAAGGGGTTGAAAGTCTCCTGAACAACTTGTACTTTTTTGAGTGCTTGGCTAGTGTTGCAGTAAGGGTGATGTGCGAGACCATAGTAACAGTGTTGTCATTGGGCAAGAGACAGGATATTTAAACTGCAGAGATGGAGTGGGGAAGGAGCTGAAAGAAGAGCAGGAAGATCCCAGATACCTGAAAGGATGCAACTAAGTATGTAAGTTGATCTTTTTCTTTAGAACTGACTCTTCTTATGTGAGCTGCTCTCAGTTGGGAGAGTTCACCTCCCATAATGGGTTCCACTGGATGAGTTTTAAATGTTTTGTTATTTTACCCTTAAGCAGCTTGTTCATGAAAAAAACCTCATTTTGTTGACTGCTATTTGCAGTCAAAAAGCAAATTTGAAAATATATTTAGTAGTAAAATGTTTCTCATTCTGATTATTCCACAAAATACTTTTCAGAAAGATGTTTTACAGCAAAGGAAACTGGTTTTCATCAGAGCAGGGTGACTGTGCATAGACTTTCTGTTCACCCCAAAACCATTTGACATTAACCCTACCATACTGGGCTGAGCAAGACTATTTGCAGACTAGCAACACAGAAGATACAGTACTTTGGTATGACAGAATTTCTACAAAGACATGTAAATGAGAATATAAATATTACAAATAAATTGTATTCATCCTTACTTGGCTTAACCCCTGCCATGCTAGATACCTGCTGGGCTCTGTGGGTGCAGGCCTGCGTACATCTGTTGGCATTTCTGGATGTGGAAATGGAGCTGCAGTGAACACAAATGATCCACGCCGGTGCTCAGAATTAAGTGCAACTGAAAAGTAAGTGTTTTAATTTTCTAAGCAAGGCTTGAAATTGCTTCTCTAAAACCCTGTGTTGTTTGGGTTTAATGGCTTTTAGATCTGCATTTCCTTACAGTTCCATATTTTACGGCTCTCTCTGTATGATCTGGTACCTTCACTTTTGTATGGGTATAATTGCATTAGCCCTACATATATAACGTGCAACATGCCCCTGTAAAATGAAAGGGATGTTAAAGTTGCACTTTCTTTTACTCCAATAAAGAAAAATGTTGGGGGATGGATGAGTTAAATCAAGCACTTTATTTTTCCCCTCAGAAAGAGAGATGAAATTTGCTGCTCTTAATAATCTCATTCCTGCATCATTATTGTCACTGCATGTTACATCTCACCCAGCTTTCATGGGGTGAAATCATTATACGCCTACTGTATTGAGCTCTGCCACAATAAATTAATCTGCTTCAGTGCTGTTGCGCTGTTAGGGCTCAGCTGTGTAAGCAAGAGGCTGATGTGTGCCTGGATTGTGGCATCACACAGGGTGAAGAGGAGGCAGCTTTTTGGGTGCCAAGATTCCTACTGAAACATCCAGAAATGGTGAAGGATAATAGTGGTCATTGTGTTGATTTTGATACACCATAGGCAGACTAACATGGTTGCACTGGGGAGGGAAGGAGAATGTGTTTATATTTAATGCAATTAGTATAACCCTACATCCAGATTGTCTATGAGCTCTGCCGAGCCATGAATCGCTTCAGAAAGAGTAGGACCCTGTACTGAAGTTTGAGCTTTATTTTTGTGGGGAAGGAATGATGTCTTTCTATGGTTTAACATTTAATTATTTCACATTAGCCATTAGGTTTCTGTGTTCACATCACAAAGCAGCTCTTTAATACTAGAAATTCGGACAGCAGGGTTCTGTGGAACTCTCCTGAAATACTCCTCCTAGTCAGCCTTCCTCATACCTGCATGATGAAGGAAAAGATGACTGTCAGGACTATTGGTTGCAAGTTGTAACATATTGATACAGCTGTTTAGCATTCTTCATATTCTGCGTTCATGAACACAGACAAATATGAGCCTGGAGTCTGCCTGAAGACCCAGCATGAGAAACCTACTCCTACTCCCTCTGTTTTTAATTGAGATACAGAATTCTTACGCAGACATTGTCAGGAAACAGTATCCCACAGCAGGCAGAGTATTAAAAATGTGGAAATGCTCTGCCACAGGGTGAGTCAAGAATAATTCCTTTTCACCCCCAGGCACCTGTCATGAACTAGAGTGAAATATTTTTACATTTTTCTATTTTTAATTAGGAAGATGGAAAGTCATAATCTGGAGAAGTTCATCTTAAGACTTTACTAAAATGAAGCACCCAGAAAGATCCAAGGGCTATGCATGCAGTCAGTAACAGGTCCCCCTTACCTGTTAGCCTGAATTTGTCGATCAGAGGAACAAAGCTGTTAAGTACACTCCGAATTCGGTACACTAATGGCGGAAACAAACACATTTTGTCAAGGTGAGCCAGATGGCAACATAAAACATAGAAAAATGGGAAAACCCAAACACTGGCATTTGCAGTATCAATGAACCAAGATCCCTATTTAAAGAAGCATGTGTGCAATATCATTAATGAGAAAGTTGTGACCAGGCTGATTTCTGAGAACCAGCCACAACCTACCAAAAACGTTAGCCCACAATTAAAGCGGTGACTCCTGTTCTCAGCTGGGAAGCTGTCACTTGCTGCTAGTTGCACCTTTCTTGCCACATCCCATGGGATTGCTGAGAATGCTCATATTTTTAATAGTATTTTCAGTAGCTGCCACCATCCCGGTTCAGCCGCCTCAGTGCCAGGGGGTGAATGGCAGCCTGAGTGTGCAGCACCTTATAGAGCGTATCTGGGAAGGCTGCTCTGCTGCTAAAATTGTCTGTTGTCATGGCAACTCAGCATTCAGCCATTGCTGCGGGAAGAGGTGACTCAGGGTCTTGTGATCATTGAGAACGAAAAATGAGTCAACCTTGCCCTTCATTGTCGCTAAGGCACGTTTGTCTCTAGCCCCACTGGAATGGTGGATGAGATGTTACAGGATCACTCCATGGTGACGTACAGCATCGCAGCATGAGCCATTCTATGGATTTGCATTGCTCAATGACTCTGTGACCTTGTACCATTAGTGCAGATACAGCATTGTCTGCTGTAGATACACTTACCTAGACCAAAGTAGATCCCAGTGGTTTCCAAGGAAGCAAAGGTGACCAAACCAGTTCCAAGAGAAATAGTCCAATCTAAGGCAACAAACTAAAGGTTTGGCTTTGATCACGTTTCCAGTGTGCAACATTTATCCTTCTGTTGAAGTCTTGCCTTACCTTTGTAGTAGTAGTAGCAAATTAGTAAAGCTCCAATTGCAAAGCAAAGAATTACAAAATGAAAGAATTCATCTGAAATAGAGAGGGGAAAATTAGGTCACAACTGCAGGCATGGCCCTTACAAATACACCTTAAGATACAGTGTATCTATGGCTCAGATAATACAGTCTGTTTCCACAAGATGTCTTGTACACCAGATTCAATTACAAAACATCCATGTGCGTGTTACAAGAAGTTGTGATCATTTTCATCAAGAAGCCTTGATGCATTTCAACGAAGTACTCATGTCAAAAAACAGGTTTTTTTTTGACCCAGAGATCTTATTCATGGCCTAAGGCTTAACAGGGTTGACATCAACTGAACTGAAAGAAAGAAATAGATTTAAAAAGATTACCATCTTTACGTATGCCCATCCATCGAACTGTCCACTGATGGAGGTGAGTGTTCTCCTCATATGCTACAAAAAAGAAATGCCTTTTATCACCATGGAATTCTTTAATCGATTCTCAGAACAGAATAGATGTAAAACTGTTCAAAGGAGAAGATCTATGAGGCTTTCAGCTGAAATTATCAATCTTTAAATCACCCCCAAAAGCAGGTTGGTTGTTTTTAAAAAGGCATAATCAGATGGTCCCATTAACAATACAGAATTATTTCAAAGCACTCTAGTCTGAGACAATTGGTAGTCTCAGAATTAGTGGGAGTAAAGCAGTAGTACAAGGAAGCTTCAGTCTGATCTTTGGGTGCTTTGCACAATCACAGCCACCATAATACAACCATCTTCATTACCAAGCATATAAGAACCATCAATCTACTTATGCCTGATGCTGAACTATTTCTGTACCTCCAAAATTAAGAACTGTAGCTGGCAATTACTCTCTTTAGCTAGCTTACTGATACATAGAAAGAATAACAGAACAACAAGCTAGATATTTTTAGAGGCTTAAATAGAGAGTGTTTCACTCAATGCCAGTTGTGTGCAGTTGCCAAATTGCATTCTTTTTCCAACTGTATTGTCCCCAAGAGCCCAATGTTTTACCAGATCGCCAATGACGTGCAGAGCAGAAGGCTTTTTTCCTTTTTCTGTTTGTTGCTCACAGAAGACCCCTGGGCAGGCTGCTGTGTGTCAGCCTTTGGGAGTTGATTCATCACTAGTTCTAGGTGCTGATTTCACTTACACTGGTCTGTGCATACAGGCAACCACTGCCTGGCTCTAAAGATGTAACAGGCAAGTACTGGAAATGTATTCCAAATGGGCTATAGGCTCTTGCTGCTGTGCTTTTAAACCATTGTGCTTTTAAAGCAATTCAACTTTGCCAAAAAATTCTGGATTGGGTCACCTGATACTGGAGTGTATTTATAAATTCTTGATTATTTCAGCATTCTGGATTGACCAAGTTCTGGGTTGGGGACAAACTCCAGTTATTTGGTTACTAATGTTAACATAGTGTTGCGCTAGCCTGACCCACACATGTTCCTCTCTGCACTTGTATGAATGATGCACAGATGCAGAATTTATCAGAATACCAATTCATGCTGGGTGAGTTCTGCATTACTCTGCCTCCTAAATGCAATAGTCCCACTGCACCTTTGTGTCACGGGATGACTTGCACAGTATTTCTTCTGTTGATGCATTTTAATAACTATTCTCAAATTTCCACCTTTTGACAAATATCTGGGTATCAAGGAGATAGTATAATCAAAACTTAGTTCTGAAAGACAGCACCCACAAAAAAAGAGCTTCTGCTTGTTTGTACTTACCATCTACAACTGAATCTTCTCTTCTGGTAATCGCTGAAAAGCAACATAGTTTCCTTATTTCTGATGGTAAAATACAAATTCCTTGTTTCCCATCATTATCAGCGCTAGCAAGCACAGCCAGTATTTGCATATTTGGTGACACATAGAGACAAACCATTACTTGAAAGTGCCAGGAAATCAGGGAAGTTAAAACAGCCCAAGAATAGATAACAATAAAACCCACTAGTCACAGTGATCCCGGGTTCTTTGAAACAGCTGGGCAGTAAGAGATTGATGGGCTCCATGTCCAGTTGCTAGAACCAAACTGGATGGGTGTTTCTTAATATATAAGCATGGCAGAAAGAAGAAGCTACAGTTAAGAGTCTTCCTTTCAAGAGGATGAGATTATCTGGGAATGTTTACCTGAATCTGTGTAGGGAACGACCTCTGCTGGTACACCTAAAATATTACACATGGATGATATAGATTAATGCCCCTGATGAATACACATGGCTTGACATAAGTCCTAGCCCATGCACCTCTATTGAAATTAGCGTGATTGTGTAAAAGTGACAAGGCAGATCCCAGCTCCAGCCACTAGAGAGGGCATCTTAGCTGTGGGTTATGCAGTATGAATGCAGGAAACATAAATGGATTATTAACACCTCACATTCCATCTCTCAGTATCTGGGCTCAGGTAGATCCAGACTCCTGTGAGAAAAATTAGATCTCCTAATGTCAGTTTAAATGATCCAGCCTTACATCTGAGCTGAGATCTATTTAAGACATTAAGTGATTAAAGCTTTAATTGTTTTACATCGGTGTTTCTACACCATAAGCTGACAGCTATTGCTGTGTGTTGACACAGCACATTTTCTTCAGCTGCACAGTACTTATTTTCCATTTTTCCTTTGGGAGTAAAGAAAGAGCCTTGGGAAGGAGACCCAAGATGTGGTTCTCGCTGATCTCTGGTCAGTGCTCACTGCAACCCCTGTAAGTAGTGGCTGTGACAGGTATTTTCAAAGCTCTTTCGCTGCATTTCAACGGCAGTGGTGCAGATCCAGGCAGCAGGACTTCTCCCACCACAGCAGGTTTTGCTGTTCTGGTTAAACTCTAAGCACAGGGCATGGGTAAGCATTGGTATGACTTGAGCGTCATCTTGTAGGAAATGCCTTTCCTACAGCCAGATTCTGACTGGTCATTTTCCTATGTCTGTACAGGCTAATATACCTTTGCTCAAATGTCCAACCAAAGAATGCCATAAGTTATTCATTTTTTTCTTGTTATATTGGTTATCTTTAGTAAAAACAATACTGTTGTGACTTTGTCCTACCTCCAAGTAATTGGCCTTCAGTCTTCTGTCTTCCTAAATCTTCCCCATCACTGTCTGGACAAAGTGTTTTTTCATCAGATTAAAGAAAAATGTGCCAGCAGTATCAGAAACAACAGCACTATAGCTGTTTGCTCATAATATTAGTTGTAGGATACGTAGGTAAAAATCAAGGCTTTGAAATGCAAGGATCGTTGTCAGGTGCTTTTGCCTCACAGCTCTCTGCCAAGCTGGCTGAATAGGAGAAAATCAGCAAAATCCGAAGTTGGAATAATTTGTATAAAGGGGTGTAGTAAGAAAGTTCTTATTTGAAATGGGAACATCAGCACTGTTCACGTATGTACCATGGCACTGGCAGCTCCTACAGTACATGATCGTTCTTTGCCTCCCCCTGTAACACAGGCTTCACTTGCACTGTAAGCACTGAGGATCACAGAAGTTAGGACTTTTTATTTGGAAAGAAATCCTGCAGCAGAATTCCATGTTTCTGAAACCTCCAACTTCCACAAGAGCAGGAGGCAGCCACTATGGAGCGATAATGAATCTGAACATACTGATTATTTTCTCTGCTCTCTCTTTTGCATAATTTCTCACTATTTTTTCCGGAGTTCTGCAGAATTGCTATAGAACTGCTGCAAGTCTGATGTGGATCTCTCATTGAACGTGCAATCGGATTAAATTACCTATCAGTGGAAAACAAAATAAATCCTCTTTACCTTGTGTATCTTCATCCGTGGACTCCTGGGATGAGTTTTCAGCCTTTTTATCCCCTTGTGAATGCACAAGATTCCTTTCTAATCTCTTCAGGAGTTTCAGTTTTTCATCTGTTTTATCAATAGAGAAAAAGGTATTAGAAACAACTGTTCACATTTACTCTCTTTTACAATGACAGATTTCACACTGGTTGAATTAGAAGTTGTCTGTTGGGAAATCAGACCCTTAGTCTTATTTCAGCTGTGGTTTTTGTGCACAAGGAGTAAGTACAAAGCATTACAGATTAAAGCATCCTACACACTACTGTCAAGACTTCCCTAAAAGAGTGTGGGAGATGCCTAAAGTTTCATATTCTGGCCTTTAATTTACTCACAATGATACCTCTATGAAAACTCCCATTCCCTGAAGCAACAGCAGCTACAGCTGAAAGATGCTTTAGTTGAAGAATAGTTGCTCACCCTTCCCTCCATTATTTCTCCCTTCACCCCTGACTTCTGAAAGATTCCCTCTGTTCATGCCATAGTGCCAGCACCCTCTTGTGGCACAAGAGCAGAGCCCTCAAAGCCAGCCAGGCCAAATCCCCGGGAGGAGAAACCTTCATGAACATGTCTGATCAAGACAAAAAGGGGAACAGAATCTCCTTAAGGGTATCCAGTTAAATTCAGGGTCATCTTAATGAGTGCAGCTTTGTAAGCTATTAAAGAAAGACAATTAATGATTTTATGGACCCTGTCGAACTGCACTTAGTTTCTTACTGCACACCCAAGCATGAGAAATGCAGTGGAGTCTATTTGACCCTTGCTGCCAGGTTTAGCATCCTGAGAGGCTCTATCCTCTATCCATTACATGTGCTCCTACAGCCACTTGCAAATACATTTTCAGTGGCTCAGCTTGGATTTCTCACCACTGTGAGAGCTCAGGGAGGTCCGGGCTGACTGGATAACAGTTCATGCAAAAAAGCATCCTAGGTGTCATGAATCCAGTTAGACAGGAAAAATCAGGACATAACTTTGACTCAGAGAAATTTGTTTGGCATCACTATGACAGGATATCCTCTCTCCCTGAATACATGTGTTTTTTTCCCTGAGAAGAAGTGAAATCAAACTAAAACGTACTGTCTTTGGCTCCCATTATCACCATGCCTAACTGACTTTCCTAAGCAGTACTTTAGACATTTTAGCTGTTGACTAATAATTACTTCCAAGCATTTTCAAACTGATGTCAAGTCCCACTGGCACTGCAGTAACTTTGACAAAAGAGCTGACGTGCAGCTCGTAGGACTCACCCTTTCCCTTGGAGCTGGGCAGCTGCCTGTATCCAGGTGGATTCCTTGTCTTCAGCAAGAGGTAGAGAACAGTCATGGCCCTCACTCCTTCCTCTTCTATGGCTTTCAGGCAGGCTGCAAGTGGGACATTGCAGTTGTTGATGAGCTGAAAGAAAAGTAAGTAAATAGCAAATAGTCCTACCAACAAAACATAACCTGTAAAAACATATCCTGCTATATAAATGAATGTATCCTGCCCCATCTGTCAGAAAGGTAATCCCCTGATCCTACTACACAAAATCAGGGAAATCAGGGACAGAGTCATGCCAAAGATGGGAAGAAGATGTAAACTCCATTCAGCAAATCATAGCTGAGCCATAAGCTTGAAAAAAACCATTGTGTACAACAGTTAACTGTCTAAAGAGCTAGAGAAATACAGGGTGTGAAAATGGACATGGAACCTCTGCAGTATCTTACAGCAAAAATGTCACTAACAACGGTCCTGCCTTGAAAACTGAGCTGGACAGATCCTGAGGAGTTTACACAAAGGCAGTTATTTTTGCACATGGAGAACAACGAAGGAAAAACCAGGGGCCTGAGTCTCATTTATCGAAGTGCCCTTTTACAGCGCTTCCATATTTTAGATACATTTTAGCATATCAACTAATTAGATTGTATGTTTTCTCTCTCCAAATTACAAAAGTATCTGTATAACAATGTTTTTCAAAGGATGCACGTGTCTTCAGTAACTTACATTCTTGTCTTCAGTACTCAGGACAGGCGGATCGATAGCAGCTAAACATTTTACAAGTGATTCCCAGAAGGACTTGTTTGTTTTCTCATGATTCTGCAAGTAACTGGCATCAGCAGCAAAAGCCCTCCGGAAAATGTCTGGAAGGGAAAACAAGCAAATCACTGTGCAGCAATAGAGGTGGGTTGCAGGGCAGTGCTCTTACTGTGCTGAGCACAGATATGGTGACAGACATCAGACTCTCAATACACTGCCCAGCATCTGCACTTGAGCCTAGAGGAAACAGCAGTGCTGTGTTATGTAAAGCAATTCAGTCTGGCAGAAATCAGTAGAAAAATGTCAACAGCCCATACAAATCACTGATGCCTCTGTGCCAGAGAAGCAGGGGAAGTATTCCTGGCTATTTAATGGATACTTATTCTGACCATGCTGCTTTACAGACAGGCAGAAAGGGATGGATACCAGGTTATTGAGACACCTCATCAGGCATTTAATGCACAACAAAATCTACTTCAGTCATCTGAATTCCAACCAGCACACACTTAAGGCCTGATTGAGAAGCCTGTGGAAGAGCTGGGAACTGACTGCTGGTCTCTTTTTACAAGCAAGGAGATGGACGGAGTGTGTTTTCAGAGGAAATAAGTTTCCTTGACTCATAACCACTCTAGCAAACACTGCTGTGTAGTGTGAATGAGCCTAAGCTTTGATCTTCCTGCACTACACTTACCTTGCTGCTCTTCAGTGAGGTCTGGGAGTAGGACATTCAAGTTCTCCATTGCTGTGCCTGTTCAAAAGAGGAAAAAAAAGCATATTAGAAACAGATCTCTGGTTTTCTGAGTTAGATTTGCTTTTTTGCAAATGTGGTGTCTATCTCTAGGCACTTTAGTTTTGAAATCCTCTGTTGCAATGGGAGTTTCACATCATGATTCATTTACCTTCTGGGGACACCTCTGAGTGAGTCTTGCTGAGCTGGCCTTTGGTTATTAAGGAAGAACAAATGTCTGATCATCATGAGTAAAATGAAAAGAAATTACTTGATCATTCATGTTGTTGTTTTTTTACAACTACCAAGATATCTAATTAACTATTTACAACAGATGTGAGTAACAGGCCCTGTTCCATCCACAAAGCAATGTTTATTCTGTGCCTTTTACATCCTTATACTTACTATGTACCAGTTAGGGAAGATAGATGTGAAAATAGTTCATAGGAAGGCCCTGGAAGATTTAGAACCCTTGGCACTCAGAAGACTTTGACACTTCTACATCTGTTCTTCCCAGGCTGTCACGGAAAGAAGATTTCCACTAACCTTAGGTTTATGAATTACCAAATTGTGTCCATCTCAGATTTCTCACTGGTACTTTCACAGAAACAAAGCTTTCTGACATCTCCAAAATTCAGTATTTCCTTTTGTTTTGCTAAACTCACCCCAGAAATTTTGGGTTGAGGCTGTTTTATTCTGATGATGCATTGTTTGTAGTTCTGAACAGTTGCCTCTGCCCACCATGGTCCAGTATCCTGCTCTGACTGCATCCCCTCTCATGCAGCATCTCAACCAAGATACTATTGATTGTACTAAGAGATGCAAAAATGCTTGGGAGCCTGAAGTAGTTTCCACTATGCAGGGCACAATAGAAAAACTGTTTATACCCCCCCCCACATTTTCTGTGGGGTATAAACTCAAAACGGACTTTTGAGTCCATTCAACAAAACACTTCCAATCAAGCGGTTTGATACCCAAGTATTTCCTTTAAATTTTCCAGATGGAAACTGTTTCTTTTCCAACAGGCAGTTTCAGTTCTCTAAAGCCCCATCAGATCAGTCAGAAAAATAGTCTAATACAAAACCCAAACCAGGCCCATAGAATACCCTCAGAAGCACAGTGTAACACACATGCAAACCTATCTTCATTCTGGAAACAGAACAACTTTTTAGCATATCAGTTCTCACATAAAAGAAATTAGACACAGAGACTCCAAAACAGCTGCAAAACCCACCTCTCCTTTGGAACAAGGGCCGAGGTCCCACATTCCTGATATGTTGGTTTTTCCAGGGCCTTTCTCCTTTCCAAGCCTGCAAAACTACTCTTCAAGTGATAAGGTCCTTAGTTTGAAACTTTTTAGCCACTGGTTTGCTGTTTGGTTCTGGGAAAGTTACGTAACCCCTTTATCCAATTTTAAAGGCTAAGCCCAGGAAACTGCTTACCTGCCTTCCTACGTCTATTGTGAGAAAACAACAATTAAATAACTTAATTAAATTGTTCCTGATAATAACTCTATGCAAGACACCTACAAAAGATTATACCTTGTATTTAACCACCTGGTATAATACCTGGAAAGACTGGCAAGTTTCTGGACAAACAAGCTTTGAACTCTATCAGTTATAGAACTTTTTACCTCTCCCACAAGCCCTGACTGACTCACAGCCTTTGCTGCTGCAGCTGTGGCAGCAGCACGGTGTGACACAGGCTGGCAATGTGAGACTGTGAGCACCCGATAGGGAATGCAGGAAATGCATCTGCCCTCTCTGCCCTCTTTAAGCAACAGCCAATGTTGAAACACAGGAACCCAGCATACCACACCCTGGATAAACTCGTTCCTGGCCGCACAATAAAGAGTGTAATTTCTGTGTCATTGTGTATCCCTAGCTATGGTTTTCAGCCTTTCTCAGTATCTTCCTTGTCTCCCTGTTTACTCATCCTATACCTTGCAACAACATTTGCTTTTGTAAGCCATACCCATTCTGTGGAATGCATGGTTGAAACACCAGGCCTAAGGGGACAAAAATTACTTTAAATATAAAAATTTATTTTTTTAAGTGAATTGCCTTTCATAAACATCCACATATTTTACTGTTGAGTGACATTCAGGAGGTTTGCCTTTGGTGCTCCTAATACCTAGTGAAAGCCACTTCCATTGGCACATTTGATGCATGTTGCTATTCCCATGACATGAACCTGCCACGGTAGCTGCCATATGCATCATCCCAAAGACAAAATGAGCAGGTAGGCACTAGCAGATCTGTCCCACCACAAAGAGCAGATTCAAAACTGAAGGCAGAGGAAACACTGTCAACCTCATTTGCTCTCAGACTAATTTACTTTAAGACCAGACTGCTCAGCTGTACCAGCAGCAGAAGCACATCTGCCTAATACATTTATGCACTCCATTATGATAAGTCCTGGTTGCCACAAAAGAAGAAGCCAGCATCTGCTCCCATCTCCCTTTCTGTGCCTCCAAGCATAGCAAAGCCCAGTCACCAAGGTTTACATAAATAAGGAAGTTGGGTACCTAATTTCTGTTAAACTATGGGCAATTAATTCCCCTGTGGCTCTTCCGGAAAGAAAATCAGATCTAAACAAAGAACAAATACAGGCACTTAATTACTGCATGTTTTTAAAGTGATTTAGTTGATTATACTTCATAAAGAAAGATGATGACAGACTGGCATTCCAGCCTCACCATGAGATCACTGAGGAATGACATGAACAACAGACATCATCTTGCTTCCCCCACAGCAAATCAGAACGTAATTGCAGTGAGGTCTTTTTAACATGTCAGAATAAGCTTTGTGTGCGGACTTCTCCCAGTTGTTTAGAAAGTGAGGTTAATAACCACTGTACACAACTTTTTTTGCTTAGCTGCTGCTGCTATGTAACTCAGTGAAATTGTACAATGGGATAGCAAAAAATACAAATAAAGTGAAATAAAACTGTTTTGCTTTGAGGCAAAAAACAGATAATCCTAAACCTTTTTCCTTTGGAACTACTTTCACCTTTCATTTTAAGTTACATGATGACAACAAATCTTGCTAAATTTTACTTTAAACATAAATACTAAGTCCCTCCCTGCCCTTTTCTCACACCAAACCAAACCAACTTCATAAAGCACACCTGCAAGCCTCAGGTAGGTCCTGTCAGCTGGTTCCACAGACGATGTCCTGGAGGGCTGTGGCTATGCTGAAAGCTGGTAGCTTCTTCCAGCAAGACAACAAAGACTGATCCACACAAGCTCAGTCTGAAACTGTTCCTACTCTAGGCTCCTTGGGCAATGCCACCAGCAAGATAACTCTGCTATTCATCTGCTTGCCTTCCTGTTGTCAAATATGGTTGAAGTGCAACAGAGAAGTAGCAAAACTCAAAGACCTCAGTGTGACTGGCCCCACGGAGCGAGCAAGGAGTAGTCATAGCCCATCCACCCCTTGCCACAGCACTGGCGCTTCCTCCCTCAGCTCTCACAGCAAGCCCAGACATGGTGGCCATGCTGCTGCCAACCTGAGTTGGTTTGCTGCCTGTTTTCCAGCTGGGCTGGTAACAGAATGTCAGTGCTTCCATATGCATTTACATACACCGTTGGAAATTACCTGGTTTGTATTTCTCCTTATGCTCTGTGTGCTCCTCTCTGTAGTCCTTGGAAAGCTCTGAAGGGAAGAAAATGAGCTCATCAGAAGCCAGAAGAGCTCATGCTTGTAGTCTGAGTAAAGTTAAGGCAAACAAGTCTTCATCTACACATAAAGAGCAGGGATTGCCACAAGGATTTTGTAAAAAAAAAATAAAAAATAAAAAAAAATCACAAAAAAAATATATTTCTTTTTTTAGAAGATAGATAAATCCACTCAAGACCACACAGAGGGTTCAGGGAAGCCCTCTGGCTCACACCCACAGCACCACAACCCCTTGTAAAGCAGTGTGACACCTCAGGGAGTTACCAACAGCCAAGACACAACCCCGAACCGCCCTCAGCCTCAACCACACGACGCTCCCGAACCCCTCCCTGGCAATTACCTGCAGGGCCACGTGGTGGCTCAGGCTCCCGGGGCAGGCGGGCAGGAAGGCACTGAGGCCAGCGCTGGGACCTCACGCGGCCGTCCTGACTCACAAGGAGAGCGGCGGCTGCTCCACATCATCCTCTGCCCGGTGGCAGCCACGCTCCAGGAGCGGTGGGAAGAGCTCAGTGCTTTCTGTCCTCAAGCTCTGCTGAAGCAGCCGAGGGCTGATCCCTCCATAGTGCACGGCCAAGGAGCCCAGACTAGCTGGGACCCCTGCCCTGCCTACAGCTGCTCTGTGCCCCTTTCAAGGCAGGAGGCCTGGGCCCATGAGGCAGTTTGGAGGCCAGGGCATGCTGCCCTCCTGCCCAGTGTCCCGAGGCTCAGGCAATGCCTACGCAGGAAGCCAGGAGATGGGCGGGTTTCATACCACACTCACCAGCAACTGGACACTGCCAGCAGAGGTCAGGTCCAGCATGATCTCCTGCTGTGTTTGCAGGCGGGGGGGTAAGAACAAAGTGGAGCACCCTGCACTGAATGCCAGGAGCCACGCAGGGTATGAGGGGCAATTTACTGCTCCTCAGTTTACCATTTACTCCCAGGTAATGGGGCCAGCCCTCATTTCCCCAACCTGCTCTGCTTTAGTATCAGACAGGAATCTCAATACCTGCATCAGCTGAGGCAAAGAAAATACTAGTGTTTCCTAAGGAAACCTCCCCAGCCTAGCTTTTGCTTTCACTATGACCAGGGGTCTCTCAGGCCTCACCATGCACCCTTAGATTTCCACCTGAACCTTCGCCAGGTACAAAAGTTCTCTTACATGTAGTCACGTTGAGGCATTTGTCAAATTAAGCTAACAACTTCACCCTGGTGCAGTGTGCAAGCGCAGGTTCATAGAATCATAGAATAGTTAGGGTTGGAAAAGACCTTAAGATCATCAAGTTCCAACCCCCCTTGCTATGGGCAGGGACACCTCGCTCTAAACCATATCACCCAAGAGTGCAGGTTGTGCACGCTCCCTCTGATCTCCATGTACCAATGCTTCTGGAGAGACTGGGATCCAGAGAAAGTAATTTGTACTTCCTGTAGGAGGTGTGCATTGAACTTTTCCTTTGACAGTTGGGTACTTTTTTTTGGTTGGTTGGGGTTTTTTAAAGCAGGGAGTTTCACCAGTTTTCCTTAAGTGCCGATTCAAGTGCCTGACGTTATGGTTAACACTCAAAGCAGCTAATACCATCCCATCTGCTTTTGCTGGGAGAATATTATCTAATTAGATTGCTTTATCATGCATTACATGTGTTTATTTTGCCTTTGTTGGGAACTGTCCTCTGAGTTAGGTTAATGGTGAGTGTATGCTGGAAAAATCACTTCCAGGACAGATTTAGAGCCACAAAAGCAGCTCTCTGCTTGACAGTAATTAGGAACAGTGTGTGTGTGGGTCTGTCACCCAGTCAGATCGCATAAGAAATGTAGAAGTACACCTATGTGAGTGTAGGAGGGGCCCAGTGCTGGTACATATTCAGAGCAGTAATTGCTCGTTTAATCATCACATTTCTGACAGATTAAAACACTCCCTTGACACATCTTGCCCTACCCTGCTTTTATCCAGAGGGTTGCTTGAATTAGTCCCTTCTGTGCATTTACTTCGTTGGTACTTTCTTTTTTCCTTTAAATAAATTCTGCTTAAACAGTTGTGAGGCAACAAAGTAAGAGTAACTGAGGGAGGATTATGCTTCCCTGCCAGCTGCATCTTGCAGGCTACAGCTAGTTAAGAGAAACCTTTCTGTTGTTGAACTCTGAACACCTTTGAGAGAGAACAAGAACAGAAAAGCAACAAGTAATCAGTGCACTCTCCTAACCCTCCACACTCTCACTGAATAAGTAACACTCTCTTATGCAGGGACATCACAAGAGAGCAGCCGTTTTGCCTTTGGCTCAGCTGAGAGGAAGTCCAAGGTTTAGCCATGGTAAGTTTTTGCAGAATTGCATGGGAGAGTGGATGCTCTTGTACCTTACTGCTTTAGGAGATGATTTCTCTCATTCTGTCCCTTCAGTGGAATTACCTTGCTATATTAACTTATTACCCTAATATTTCAAACCAATACAGTCACATTTTTGCTAGAGCCTGTTAAATTTAAGAACTAGGCCTTATTTAATTTTTAGCTACAAGCATTAGTTTCTTATTCTATACAGATCTTTTAGCATCTCTCCTAAACACCAAGAACCAAGCAGAACACTGTGCTCACCTCTACGGCTGTTTCTTATTGCTTCCTTCATCTACGTCTTCCTTCACCTTCCTGACATCTACGTCAAAGTCAAAATTACATTTTCTTTAAATTTGTTAGAAGCTTTCTGATATGATGTGTTGTAAGTGGTGCTACAGCTATACTCTTACAGTAAAATTTTCTTATTTACATTTAAAATGTCTGGTGTCCAGTAACTACTGAAATGTGGCAAGAGACTGAAGATGCACACGATGAAATCTGTGCACGCTGCAGACCCTACTGACAGACTCCAGAGAAACCTTGCTCTTTGTTCCTCCTTACTGCCAGTGCTAACCCTGCTAACAGCAGACTACTCTGCACTTTCTTGAGCCTCACAGGTTTTCATTATTTGGCTGAGTTACAGAGCTGTTAAGCAGCTGTCCTGTGCCTACAGTCTGCCCTGCAGACTACTGAGCTGCAAAGGAAAAGTGTCATTTCACAGCTCATATTTCTTGTGGAAATGTGCTAAGTTTTTTTATGCAGAAACCCAGCAGATAAATGGCAGTCTGTCTTAAAGGCCAGAGAGGGGAAGGTGGCAGCGTCACCCTGAATGTCACATCTCCTCCAGAGCACAAACCCCACCTGATTAAGGCAGATGCTGTTGGAGTTTCTGCTTCTCTTAAACTTGAAGCATTTGTCTGAAATACAAACCCAGTCTGGTTCAGCAGGAGGAAGGCAGACCTGGCTCTGGCACTTTCCATGAGCTCGTTCTTTCCCTGACCAGCCTTTACAACAAAAACGGCCAGCAGTTTTGGAGCTCAGGAAAATGGACTTCCTCAGCTCACACCAAGGTCTTTGCAGATACTAAAGGTAACACCATGGGGAGAACATTTTCCAAACCCTGACCAGAAACATGACAGTTTCTAGTAAATTTAAATTGTAGTTTATTACATTCCTGGTGATGAATCTGAATAACGTCTGTTTCATCACATCTATAATCATGTCATCAGTGCAATTCCGTTGCTACTACACAAAATATCTGTCCTGCTCCCAAAAGGTTTGGGGTGCCAGGGATCTGAGGAAGAGGCTGCTGACTGCTAGAGAAGTGGGGAGTAATGAACTGCTCCCAGCTGCTGCCTGGCTGAGCACCCAAGTCCTGCAACAAGCACAGGGCATCAGCGTAAGGTCTGAGGGCACTCTCCTGATACACCCCTCACCAGCCTTCCACAAGCAATCTGCAACAAAACCTGCTCTCACTCTGTGTCTCTTTTCTTCCTCCAGTTCCCTGGGGTCCCCCCCCACCTCCACCCTCCTGGTCTAGCAAACTGGAAAAGATCTCAGTGAATCTGAAACCTTTCATACCCCTGTGAGTTTTCCAGCTCATTGACAACTCAGCTGTGTCCTAACACATTCCCCTCTTGAGATCACCTCAGATCACTGAATTATCAGGTTCAATCACCTCAATGCAGAAGGGATGAAGATACATTTGGTTTTTAAAACATTTTCAAATATCAAGGCTCTATCAGCACCAGTACCCAGAGAGCCCAAAGGTTATTTACTAGAAACTAGGATTATTTGTGAAATCTGGTCCAAAAATACGTGCTTTTGATTGGACATTACAACCTTTGTGATGTATGCAAAGCTCCCTCTTGTGCTGACCAGAAAAATAGTATCATAGCCAATACCGTATCACCTCAGCTCCTGTCCAAGATCAGAATTCAGTACTGCTACTCATTCCCAAACTGTTACTTAAATGAGGACTGCAGGATTGTTCTGACCAGTCCATGAGGTCGGGCTGCCTGTCCTGCAGGCAGTGAGCACTAGAAGCCCACTGGTACCATTTGAGAGCGCAAACCTTTATCAAACTACAGATGCAGCTCACGCTCTAATGAAACTGCACCATTCTGGCACCTTCCTAAGAGGTTTCAAACCAGCTTGTTCCCAAGCCCAAGCTCTGGGAAAGTATCTCAGCTACCAACAATAGCAGCAAGGGTGTCCAAGCACCCAGCTCTCCCAGAGCAAAAGGAAAGCACCCTGTCAGCTCCTGCTACATTAAACGTATGGAAGGGAGAACAGCACCGCTAACACAGCAAGTAAATCAATCTCCTGATGCAGAATACACAAATCTACTCCAGAAAAGTTTAATGTGAGTTCCTGCGACATCATATTCTGGAAAACACAGTACCAGAAAAAAAAAAAAAAAGGCAAACACAATTCCCCAATCTTTAAAACAATCAAAGAGATCAAAGCTCCATCTACTAACAAGGCTGCACACCAGACCAGGTACTGTAAGTAGCAGTGTAAGTCTAAGCATCAGGAGACTTCCCCCCCCCTCCCAGAGATGGGCTGGAGTGAGCAGCACCCAGAGCAGAAGCCTGATCTTGCAAAGCCCAAGTGAACTACTGAGACTCTCTGAAAGGGAAAAGTGCAGGACCTCGAACTGCAGTGAGCTGCCTAGTATCCCTGCTGGGAGATGAATCAGAGAGGCTGATCCCAGTGCTCCAGCTCTATGACAGCATGTGTCCGGGGAGGAGCAGTACCCTCTGGAAGACAGAGCTGTATACCAAAACTGCTTTGGACACATCAACTGTATGGCAACACCTATTCCTCCAAGAAACACTGGGGTCAGAGGGAAAAAGGAGCAACAGCGTGACAGCCTTGTAACAGCCTGTCAAAGAACCAGCAAGTGATGAGACACGAACCATAGTACTAGCTGGGATCAGGAACAAGAAACAGATCTCAGGTGAAGAGGTCAGTCCGGTACAGACCCCATCCCAGGGATGTCTGTGGTACCCTCTGTCTCCCATTCAGTCTCTGGGTTAAGAATTTTAGGATGACTTAGACTGGGACCTCTGGTAGTCTCCACCCCCTTAAAACACACACAGCTTCAGTCAGAGATCAATCTGCCCAGGGACTTGTCCAGACAAGTATTGAATTCTCCAAGAGGACAGAGATCTCACAGCTCCACTCCAGCACATCCAGAATGAACAGTGCACAGACCACAGGCATACTATCAATGCACCTGGGCCAGAGACCAGCTGCCTCTAAGGAAAAAGACAGGTGCTTTCCCTCTACCTGCCAAGCCTGTACGACAGCACTCATTCTCCTCATTTGGTATCACCCCCAAGCAAACGGGCAATGATTCATGACTGCTGCACTCCACTCCTCTTAAGTCCTGTAGGGTTGCTACAAAGCACTTATTTCTGGTGGGACTACACACCAGAAGCAGCCAAGCCTCCTGGATGTGCAGCCCAGTTTGACAGTAAAGTGTAACTGCCTATGTGATCTGAGGGAAACGCTGGAGGAGCACTTACTCAATGGAAAACACAGAGCATCCTACAGAGAACAAACTGTAAACTCAGAGGAGGACCTACGCTGAGGAGCAACCACCTGATGTCAACTGGAGAACATACCAAAACATGTGAAGCCTGCTGGGAAGCCTTTACTGACACCAGCTCCATGGACTCCCCAACAACCTAAATATGACCTGCAAGTCTGCAGCTCTAGATGCCCAGTGAAATACTGAAACACACAGAGGACCGGTGGGAAGGGAAAAGAGATTTCTTCTACTTGCCACTTGCCTCCCAAGAGAGAAGGCACTCCCCTATGGCATGTGATGTGCTCCAGGGTAGGTGAGCCTATCCCCAACACAGCCCTAACAGCATGCACACAGGAAGGCTGAGACACCCTCCAAACCATCAGGATCACCAGGTTTTCTGCTGTGACCCCTGCAGGAGCACAGAGCACCTCAAAGGCTGGTCAGGTACTTCATGGAGCTGACAGCACACCAGGCCTGCAGCCCCTGCAGCACATTCCCTCCCATCACAGCCTCCATTGTGGTGAGGAACAGAGGCTCGAACCCCACAGGTCAGGTAGATGGAAGGCCTGACTCTGGACATCCAGGATGATGGCAGGGAGCCAGGCATCCCTGGCCCAGCCCCAGGCAGGCAGGCAGAGAGCAGGCAGGGCAGGAGCACAGCGGTTTATTGGCAACACAAGCAGAGGCGGCGGTGGCGGCGGAGGCAGACCCAGGGTAGGGCGGCGGTGCTCCGGTGGGGCAGGAACCGGGGCCACCCAGGTCTATGTCAGCGTCTCACCCTTGGTGACCTGCGGGAAGAGGAAACGACTCAGCCAGGACCGGTCCAGAGCCCGAACAGCCCCCCCCGCCCCGCCGCATACCCGGGCCTCGATGTACTCGATCCTGCGCTCCAGCGCCGTCAGCTTCTCGTTCAGCGTGGCGAGCCGGGACCGGCACGACATATCTGTGGGGAGGCGGCAGTGAGACACCCCGAGAGGGCGCCCGGCCCGGAGACACCCGCACCCCGCCGCCGGCCCCCCGCCCTCACCGAAAGAGTTGAGGAAGTCCGCGATCTTCTTGATGGAGCTGGTGATCACCTCGATGTACTCGCGGTTGGCCCAGTCCTGGTGAATCTCTCGCTGCACCGGGTCCTCCTGCACCGACATGGCCGCCCCGCCGCCACAGCCGCCGCGCCTGCGCACCGCAACCCCCGCCCCGCGCCTGCGCGCCTCCGCCCCGCCCGCGCCGTCAGGGCGCCGTCGGGGAGCCCGGCCCCTTCACCCCGGCGCCGTCGTCGTCACTGGGATCCGTGCTGCTCCCGCTCGGCTCCTGCGGGGAGCAACGCCGTCAGACGCACACTCACGGCCCGCCGCCCCTGCTGTGTAACGAGTTACAACCGAGCCGCCCGAGCGGCGGTACCTGAGCAGGGCTTTCTGCAGAGTCCTCCTCATCGGAGCCCCGCTCTCCAGAAGCTTGAGACAGGATTTCTTCTCCCTAAAGTGAACACAGAAACCCCATACTGAGCTTATGCAAGGCAGACAAGAGCACGCCAGGGTGGAAGAAAGCAGCATTTTGTTACCATCTTAGTAAAAGCTTTGAGTAAAAAGTAAGCTTTAGAATCATAGAATGGTTTGGGTTAGAAGGGATCTTAATCTAGTTCCGGGAGACACCTTCCACCAGAGCAGGTTGCTCAAAGCCTAATCCTTTCACTGCCAAGGATGGAGCAGCCACAGCTTCTCAGGGCAACCTGCGCCAGCACCTCACCACCCTCACAGATCTCTTCATAGAAGAACATTTTTCCCCAATATCTAATCTCAGACTCCCCTCCATCAGGTTAAAGCCATTCCTCCTTATCCTGTCCCTACAAGCCCTTGTAAAATGTCCCTCTCCAGATATCTGGTTGCCCCTTTTTAGGCACTGGGAGCTGTTCTAACATTTCCCCGAAGTCTTCTTTTCTCCAGGCTGAACCAACCCAGTTCTCTCAGCATGTCTTCAGAGCAGAGCTGCTCCAGCCCTTGGAGCATCTTCACGGCCCAGATTTGTTTCAACTGTCCTGCTTCTACAGTGAAAGATGAATAAAACAGCTAGAACTGGCTTCTGTTAAATCCATACACCAGAGCATGTGAAGAGGTGTTCAAGTGACCTGTATCTTTGCCCTTCTTTGCATGCAGTCCTTGTCACCGAGCAGAGGAAGTACCCCCACCCCTTCACCACAAACAATAAAACCTGACTGCTTCAGTGCAAGAGCCAGGCTGTAAGGAAGGCCCCAGAGACACAGATCTTCCATCCTGGAATAAAACACTTCCTCCTGCAGCACTAGACAAGACTGTAACATGGTCACACTGAATTTGGCCATTTAGCCCTACACACACACAAGGGCAGAGTTGTATAGGCAAGATGAGCACTGTCCTCTCTCAGGTTTTAACTGCCCCAGGCAGGACAGTGATTCTCACCTGAAGATCCCGATTTTTAAGGACACCCATCCAAAATGCCTCCTGACAGTGGTTGAATGCCAGCATTGCCTTCACTCGGTACACAAATTGTTCCAGAGACTTTTTCAACAAAGGCACGTGGTTGGTCAGTCCAATGTCTTGGTGAATCTAAGTACAAACAGTAAAACATGGATGTGATTGATTCTTGCATAAGTATTCTGGCTATTTAAAAAGCCAGTGGTTATACAGGTGAGAGGGATGGGATGTGATCCCCATAAAGCTCCCCCAGATCATGTCATTTCTTAGCCAAACTCTTGTATAGCTTTTGTAATCAGTAAAACACAGATAAGCATTTTTTTTAGCAATAGGCAACCACACCATTCCAGTCCAAAGCAAAAAGCAATGCTACAAGTGGCCAAACTCCAAAACTACCCACTAGGAAGGGAGATAGCCACAAGCTGCAAGTTAATGCTGCAGGGAGTTTCACGTCAGGATACTGCCTAATTCCCAAGCACAGAGAAGAAAGAATGAGAAAGGTGTTGAATAAACCACTGCAATGATAATCTTTTATTGCTCAGTGCCTGATGCAATTCCTTTACACTAGCTGCATGGAATGTGCGTATGCTATAAAATCCAAAGGCAGTTTGTCCAGACCAAACAAGCACTGGCTTTTGTTGAACTAGGACAGGAGAGAACACATGGAGTTGCTGTAAGCAAAGCCCAGCTGAGGAAGGGCAGCTATGCCAGGTATAGTATGAGATGTAGCTCTCTGTGAGCACCTCTTCTGCTAGGCTTGGATCTGCAGTACACTATAGTCATTGCTAACCAGAAAACCTGCCAAGAACCATAAACAATTACTGTGTGCATAAGTATTTTCCTCTTTCATAAGCATACTTTGTAACCTTTTTTCAAATCATGGAAAACCTTGCTAATGACACAATCAACGATCTCAGTGCTGCCTTGGTCTTGGAACCTGCCCAATTGTCTGCAGGCAGTTTGGAGACCATGGCGTTTGCAGAAATCTGTCTCCAGAAATTGTCCTTATGCCCAACATTAGACACAGAAACAGAAGAGAGGCTTGATGTGAGAGGATAAATGACAAATACTTAGGAAATTATAAACAAAGCCCATTCCTGTTCTCTGGTGTGTGATGCTCTGAGCAGTCCTATTGAGGAAGAGCAGCAAACCCTAGGTAACAGTGCATGGTACATCAGTGAGCAAGTGAAATCAAGACTGGTTTAACAAGCGTTGATGTCAACTCCTCTTCAAACAGGTTTGGAGCATTCATTGCATACATTTATTTGCCTAGATTCACCTGCTGCCTCCTCATTCTTGCAAAAATGATTTGGCACAGAGACCTAATCAGATTGCAACAGATAGAAGAGCAGCGGTAAGACACAGGTGTTCACTAACTGCAGTTATATGCTAACAGGGACCGTGGGCTATGGCACTTGAAAATGCTGGTCAAACATAAAAGACATCACAAGCTGCAGTGATATTATCCTGTTTACAAGGTGAACTGTGACTTTAAAACAGGCATGAGGATTTCACTGCAAACACGAGAAGGGCTTTTTAATATCTCCAGGGTTTGTGCCAGATTCCAATTCTCCCCTATGTGGATAGCTGCAATAGCATATTCTGATCCCCAGCTAGGCTTTTATGCTCCTGATGCCAGCTCTGGACTAAATGAGTAGCAGATCTAGCTTGGGGAACCATGCTAATGGCTTTCTCCCTTCAACAAATTTGGCAGAGCCCCTTCTCGGACATGTGTTCTGCAACCTCTTAGGAGTCTAACAGGAACAAAGCAGCACAGATGAAGTTCCTGCTAACCGCCTTTCCCATGTGATTCTCTCTCGTGACAAGCACTGGCTCTCCACACTGTAAACAGAGTGCTAGTCCTCTCCTTCCTTACTGCCCCAAACCTACAGAGGCTGTCAGGCTGCACTTTCCAACATTCCTCCTCTCCCTTTATCCTCTTCCCTAGTGTCAATGTAACAACGCCAAAAAGGCACCTCAAGAGGATTTTGAGTAAGGTTTTCACTTGTTCACCTCCTGTTACCGATTCTTCTGACCCTTAAGGCTGTTGATTTTTGCCAAAACTTCTCTCCCATATTATCAATTTGGCATCTAGACTACATGCAAGGTCTCTAATATCTTGGCTTGTGTCCTCAGAAACACTGTCTTACAGGGGCCAACAACCAAACATGTCAAGAGCCTCTGCCCTAAAAAAGTATGCTAACCTGACCAGACATCCAAGTCAGCTACTTCCAGACCAAATACTTAACTTAGGGCCATTAAGCCAAGGCTATTGCTCCTCCTCTTGGAGTTTTTGCTTGTACAGATAGTGCTGGAAGCTTGCAAGTAGAGCCAACCTATGCCCCAGATGGGAAATATATCATTCTTAGGACAGGAGCTTGTGCTGCAATTCAAACTTACCTTGGAATTCAATCTTACCTTGGAATGACCACACATGTGATGAAGTTGTCTGGTACTTAGCTGCAAGGTTTTCAGCAAACTCTGCACATCATCCTGCAATAAATAAGTAGACCAGCACATCGTTCTATCAAAGTATTTTTCCATAAGGGAAAAAATAATGAGACAGTGTTCCCACAGTCCCAGCAATCCTTCCAAAGGGTTATGGGACAGAGACGATGCACATATTCAGGAAACATCAGACAAACAGGATTAAGCCATAGGAGCCTTGCACTGTGCATCTAAGTAGCTGGTAATAAAAGTATGACCTCACGTCATAAGGCCAAGCACTTTGAAATGAATTTTGAATCAGTTTGGACTGAACGCATATCAGTGGAAACAGGGCAACAAAAATACAGACAACCTTGTCACCTCTTGCCATGAGCAAAACCTTGCAAATAGGGGAAACAGAGGAAAAGCATAGAACATACTGCTACACCATGGTATTTGAAATGCATCCAACACTAACTCTGGGTATCAGTCCTCTCTACTGAGCACATGACATGACACTTTCTACTGTCCAGTGGCAGTGACTAGATATTCATTTGATAACCTCGTTCCCTCAAACATCCATGAGAATTCATCTTACATTTGTAATAGAAAGGAGTTACCTCTTAGAGACTAAGTTACCAACTTATCCTTAAGTTGTGAAGGCTAAGCCAAAAACTGAGTCTCACTGGCAAAGCTGGGCTGCCTTGCAACAAAGCAGGGGGAGTAAGTCAACTGTTCTTGCCATGTAGTACAGCAAGGCTGGCTTCTCCATCTGCACCCATGCATACAGTCCTGCTGAAAGCTCCAGGAATTATTGCAAACACACCTATGTCACTGTCCATCTGCACCACAAGCCCTCACCAACCTGACCACTCAAAGGAGCTTCCTACTCCGTGATTGACACCTTTGTGGTAACCGATTTTGAAAGAGATAGAGATTGAAAGGACTTCTTTTGCCAACAGAGAAGCCATCCAATGAGAAGAGGGTTGGCAAGTTGGGAAACAGTGATCTGTTTGCTGAGAGCACTGACTGTGCAAGTAAACAGGGCACAGCACAGCTGGGAGACATTAGATGTGTTTGTCATGAGGTGTCTGTCGCAAGTGTCACATGTTGATATGTTGGCATGATAAGACAGGACTCTTCATCTAGCAAGAATCAGTCCTGCTTCCCAGCTGGCTCCAAGACAGATGTCTCCAAAAGGCTTACCCTGTGCTTTTTAAAGCTGTAGTCCAGGAGAGGCATGGCAAGCTTCAGAAATGCTTCTACAAAGAGACGGCCGTACTAGAAAAGACGGATAAATACATCAGAAGGGTAGTTCAAATTCCTGTTCAAAGA